GAGGAGGCCTCTATCATCAACCCTAGGGATGGAAAACCTTTCAAATTTTGTGATCATTGGATCTTAATTGTGCTAAAGTTGACAGTCATGCATGGGAAATATCCATGGTAGGATCAAAAGGATGCATGTTATCAGTAAATTGAAGCGAGTAAGAAAGGGGATCAAGAAAGACTACGGATTGATAAGAGAATAGGAATATTCATCGAAATTGTTACAACACACATTATGGTCACGTGCTTCAATAAAAGCTTGCTACTAACTAAGGATTAATTAAAAGGATCAGTTTTTAAACTGCAAGGACGACTAAATGGTAAATATATCGCAGTGACACACAAGTTACAGGAAACAACTGACTAAATACAAGTTCCTTTTTCATGCAAAAGAAAACCCATTACAACAAGGACCACTAGCTTACATTTGAAAAATAATTCATAAATTGAAGACACATCACCTGTAACAAACAACCCATCTGACAAACTCTGTACATTGTAAACATTAGATGCAGCCACCATAGGAAGATAATCATGGGTTTAAACATCAGAAGTGTGCAATAGAGGAGAAGCATGACTATCATTCCTTCCTGTATAATTCTTTGGCATCAGTGCTGGATCATCATACGCCCTGGTTAACTTCTCATAGAATTCAGATAAGTGAGGATCATTTTGGTCTTGTCTGTCTTTCTTTATCAAACACTGCAAAAGCATGACATTCATAAATGAGACTTCATTAAGTAAAAATGGAAAGCAATATTCCACAGGTAAAAGAATGATCAGGTTAAATCTATGACCCTAGTTTGATCCCTCATAATATTTCTTAATATTCTTCCTCGTAGAAGCATCTTCTCACTTGGCTCATTCACAGATTAGCTATTTTTCAAATTAGTGTTTCGTAAAATTTCCTTCTCCCTTTAATTCTTCGCAAAAGGGTATTTCTAAATTTAATCCCTATAAAAAAGACATTAATAATATCATTCCATAAGTTTCAATCAATCGTAAATAAAATTAAAACTACGTTAATAAGAGGGCATAATTTATAACGTTTGAACTCCCTTCAGTCTCCAACATAAGACACCTGTAACTACTTTACACATATCAAGAAAGTTAATTACAGTTAGTTTTGCTTGTTAAATATGTACCAAAATACAATTATTTTTTTCAATTTACCTCTATTAAATGGTTAACTTTCCTCTATAATAAATTGGAACCTTTTTCATAAAAAAAATTTCTCTCTCATTCATGGAGACCAAAGCTTGTTTCGTTTTTGTTGAAGAATGTTAATAAAAGGTGGGGGGGGGGGACTCATTAATGAACCAGACAAATTAGAAGAGCATCTTATATTTGAGACTGGAAGGAGTACATGCCATCATATCTCTTAAATTCATTTATAGTATATTAATGAAAAATGTCATTGATAACTGTTTTATTTGCAGGAGACCAAAATGAGAAATACCCATATGTTAGGGACTTGCTATAGAGTTACCTTATCAATGAAGGACCCGATTGATAATTTTATGAGGGACTAGACTTGAAAAATATGTCATACAATTTTACTTCACAAATCCACTTCGGATCAGACTGTACAGCCAAAAAATGTCATGTTTTAATCATTATACTGTACAAGCAATTACGTAACTGCCAGCATTAACGGGTAGCTTAAGTAAACCTAGGAAGAAAATGTAGGAGACTTGATGCAATTTTCTAAACAGGTAACGACCACCCTCATGTGTAATAGAATCAAAGTATGAACATACTCTAACTATAGCCATTGTTAAGGTTTACCAGTATATATTGTGTTGAAATTAAATTCCACATCAGGCTTCTTTCCAAGATGTCCTAGCCATTTCAAGTAAACCCATAAATTTCTGATAGTATAATGTTGTCTTCCGTAACTAGTTCATATAGAGCCAACTTAGAATCTTGGTATTATTATAAATATTATGTCATGGATATCCATAACTCATAATCCTTAGGATTCCTTTATTCTCAATGTCCTTATCAATGGCATGGAAGGAGTTTCTAATCTTAATAGCTTATAACCTTCAAATGTTACATAATACACCATTACAGGCCTCATTATATCTTTGTAACATCAGAGTAGGACTTGAATGGTTGGAGGCCTATAAATAGAGGTCATGTCCAGAGCATATGTACACTAATGAATAAGAATTCTCCTCCATTGTTTTTTCTCCATTTCTTGTATTGTCTTGTCCTTCTCTACTCTTCATGTTGGCTATATTTTACAACATGCTATCAACACGAATTAGCTCTGAAAATAAGGTACGAGCTTTTAGTTAGATTGATGTGTTCTTATATTATATATATAACTATATTTTATATTATTATTTTATTAACGTTCATGGTTATGTTGTTCTTATATTTTATTGTTTTATTTTCCTATCATTTCATTTTCTTAGTTATGTAGTAATTTTAAATTTCTCCATTTTATTAATTTGAAAATAATCATGTGATTAGTGATTTAATTTAATCAAGTCTCATTCGACATCCATTGCTTTATTTTTATTATTTGTTGTTATATATTTTTTATGGAGATTGATATACTTATTTTTCTTTCTTTATATTTATGTATTTGATGTCATCATCATAATTATTATTGTTGTTGTTGTTATTATTCATTTCTTTATTATTTATTATTTATTTTTTTATTATTTTGGTCTTCCATTAAATTAATATTATATATACGTATTATACATTTTGTGTTTGCTTATCTGTATGTATTGATCAATTTATGTTGTTAATATAATTTATTTTATCATATAAATTATTTGTTTTATCCATCAATTTATTTGCTTTACTGCATTTCTTTATATTTATTATGCTTTATTTGTTTTGTAAGTTTGGTTATTTATATTTGTGTTTCTTTATATTGTGCCTCTTTTTATTGTGTTTTATTATAAATTATATTTTAGCATGTGTGTCAAATAATTTTTTTTACTATAATATTTATTTATTATGCTTTATTTATTAATTTTGTATAATTCTAATTGTTATTATTATTTTAGTTTGAATCATGACAAATCTTACCAAACTTGAATTTACGGCCCTTGATATTATGAAAAGAACTATCTATCATGAGTGCTAGATGCTGAAATTCACCTAGACGCCAAAGATCTATGAAATGCAATTTTACCTAGAAATCAAGCAAGTAGTCAAGATAAGGCCAAGGTAATGATATCCCTTCGTCATCATCTTCATGAAGGACTAAAAGTTGAGTACCTTACAATAAAAGATACACTAGAATTGTGGATTAATCTAAAAGAAAGATATGACCACCAAAAAATGGTAATTTTACCTAAAACCCGATATGAATAGATACATTTGGGGTTGCAAGATTTTAAAATTATAAGTGAATATAATTTAGCAATTTTTAAAATAAGTTCTCAATTGAAATTATGTGGTGAGAAAATCAATGATGAGAACTTATTAGAAAAGACATTTTCAACTTTTCACGCTTCAAATGTGCTCCTGCAGCAACAATATCGTGAAAAGGGTTTTAAAAAGTATTTTAAATTAATTTCTTGTCTTCTTGTGGCTGAACAAAATAATGAGCTGCTGATGAAAAATCATGAAATTTGGCCTACTGGATCAGCTCTATTCCCTAAAGCGAATGTGGCTATATGTAGTAATTACTGTGGTCATGGCAAGGGACGTGCTAATTACCATTATAATAGTGGTGGTGGTACTAGTTATAATCCTAATGCTCACCAAAAGAAGAAAAATAATGAAGGACAAAAAGAGATAAGAGCAGCCCTTCAAAAGCTGTTGAAAATAAGTGTTATCAGTGTGGTATGAAGGGGCATTGGTCACATACCTTTCGTACGCCTGAGCATCTAGCAAAGCTTTATCAAGCCTCCATCAAAAGAAATTCAAATAATGTGGAATCAAATTTTACTTTTCAAAATAATGATGTTGAGGCACATTTTGCATACAAAAATGATGCTGTGGCACACTTAGAGGTGGCTGATTTCTTTGAAAATCAAGATTAGACAAGTTTGGTTGAAAAATAATTAAAATAATTTGGATTATGTTTCATTTATGTTGCTTGTTTTCTTATAATTTAGGTTATGTTTCATTTAGCTTTCTTGTTTTCTTATAATAAAAGCATTGTTGTTATGAATAAATTTTATTTTATTAAGTATTTATTTTAATACATTCTCTTTCTTTTGTTGAAGAATATGGATATTCCCTTTTCTTTCATTAGACACAAGAATGAAGATATATGTCTCGTGGATAGTGCTACAACACACATCATACTTAAAGATAAAAAATATTTTACTTATTTAACAATAAGAGATGAAAGCATTATTACTATAACAGGTAATACTAAATTAATCTATGGCTCTAGAAGAGCAATTATAATATTATCTGAAGGAACAAAAATTATTATAAATGACGCATTATATTTATCTAAGTCTCAAAGAAATTTATTAAGCTTTAAAAATATCCGCCAAAATGGGTATCATATTGAAATTACAGATGAGAAAGATATTAAATATCTATATATTACAGATTTTAGATCTAGAAAGAAATGTGTCCTAGAAAATTATCCACGTTTTCTTCTGGTTTGTACTACACAACTATTAGTACAGTTGAAATAAATCCAATAGTCAATAAGAAGTTTACCAATCAAGATACATTTATCGTTTGGCATGACTGGTTAGGCCATCCCGATTCAACTATGATGTGAAGAATTATTGAAAATTCACATGGACATCCATTGAAGAACCAGAAGATTCTTCAATTTAAAAATTTTTCAAGTGCTACTTGTTCTCAAGGAAAATTAATTAAAAGACTTTCAATTGCAAAAGTGGGAATTTAATCTCCTGCCTTTCTTGAACGTATCTAAGGGGATATATGTGGACCTATCTATCCACCATGTGGACCATTCAGATATTTTATGGTTTTAATTATCTATAAGATGGTCACATGTGTGTTTGTTATCAACACGTAATTTAGCATTTGCTAGATTACTTGCCCAGATAATTTGATTAAGAGCACAATTTTCAGATTATGCAATTAAGACAATTCGTCTTGATAATGCAAATGAATTTTTGTCACAAATTTTTGATGAATATTGTATATCAACTGGAATAACAGTTGAAAAATTTGTTGCTCATGTCCACACTCAAAATGATTTAACAGAATCATTCATTAAACGCCTCCAATTAATAGCTAGACCAATGCTCTTAAGGACAAAACTTCCTATTTCTGCATGGGGACATGCGATTTTACATGCAGCAGCACTTGTGCATGTCAGGCCAACAAGTTATCATAAATTTTTCCCATTACAATTGGTTTTTGTTCAGGAGCCAAATATTTCCCATCATAGAATTTTTGGATCTGCGATGTTTGTTCCTATTGCTCCACCACAACGCACAAAGATGAGATCTCAAAAAAGGTTGGGAATATATGTTGGTTTTAAATCTCCTTCTATAATCAAGTATCTAGAACCATTAACTAGAGATCTATTCATGGCACGTTTTGACGATTGCCATTTTGATGAAACAATTTTGCCAACATTAGGGGGAGAAAATAAGCAGCTGCAGAAAGAAATTACATGGAATGAATTATCATTATTTTATCTAGATCCTCATATAAAGCAATGTGAACTTGAAATTAAAAGAATAATTCATCTACAAAATTTTGCAAATCAATTGTCAGATGCATTTACTGACCTTAAAAGAATTACCAAATCTCATATTCTAGCTGAAAATGTTCTTATTAAAATTGATGTCCCAATAGAACAATTAGAAAGTGCAAATGAATCTAAGCCACATCTAAAACGTGGTAGACCAATTGGTTCCAAAGATAAAATTCCTAAAAAGAAGAAAGGGACACAAAATAAAGATGGTATTATAGAGGAGGCCGGTACTCTAGAAGAGTATGGAAACATAACTAATCAAAATACCCCAGAAGAGGTCCAGGTACGTGAAGATAATGAAGATATCTCGATAAGTTATGTCACCATAGGAAAAAAAATGGAACCAAAAAAATATAGTCGTTGACAACATATTTTCATATAATATTGCTGTGAAAATAATGAATCAAAATGAGGATTTAGAACCAAAATTGGTTGAATAATGTAGACATAGAAATGGTTGGCCAAAATAGAAAAATGCAATTCAAGCAGAATTAAGTTCACTTTCAAAACGTGAAGTTTTTAGACTTGTAATTCGAATACTTAATGGTGTAAAGCCAGTTAGATAGAGATGGGTATTTGTGCGAAAATGAAATGAAAAAAATGAAGTCGTTAGATATAAAGCATGACTAGTAGCATAAGGATTTTCGCAAAAACCTGGTATTGATTATGAAGATACATATTCTCCTGTGGTGGATGCAATCACGTTAAGATATATAATTAGTCTGGCAATTCACAGAAAACTTGATATGCGCCTAATGGATGTTGTTACAACAATATCTTGGCGTTCAACAAAACAAACTTTAGCTGCTGCCTCATCAAATCATGCTGAAATAATTGCAATTCACAAAATAAGTAGAGAATGTGTTTGGCTAAGGTCAGTGATCCATCATATCCAAAAGATGTATGGTTTGTTGTTGGAAAAAAAGATTCCAACAATATATTTGAGGCTAACACAGCATGCATAGCTCAATTGAAAGGAGGATATATCAAAGGAGATAGAACAAAACACATTTCTCCAAAAAAATTTCACTCATGACCTTTGGAAGAGCGATGATATAGATGTTCAGTAAATTCGCTCATGTGATATAATCTTGCAGATTTGTTTACTAAGACACTACCAACTTCGACATTTGAAAAGTTAGTGTATGGAATTGGAATGTACAGACTCAAAGACATAAAGTGATGACGTTATCAGGGGGAATGGAGTGATATTGCTACTAGGGGGAGACTATTGGGAGTAAATATTATGTTATACTCTTTTTCCCTTTCTAAGGTTTTGTCCCACTGGATTTTTCCAAGAAAGTTTCTAATGAGGCAACATTAGTGAATATTTAAAATATTGTGTACTATTTTTCCTTCACTAGGTTTTTATCCCATTGGGTTTTTCCTAGTAAGGTTTTAATGAGGTACAATGTTTGTTATTAATGTCCAAGGGAGAGTATTATAAATACTATATTATGGATGTCCATAACTCATAACCCTTAAGATTCCTTTATCCTTAATGTCCTCATCAATGGCATGGAAGGAGTTTCTAGTCTTAATAACTTATAACCTTCAAATGTTACATAATACACCATTATAGGCCTCATTATATCTTTGTAACATTAGGGTAGGACTTGAATGGTTGGAGGCCTATAAATAGAGGTCATGTCCAAAGCATATGTACACTAATGAATAAGAATTCTCCTCCATTGTTTTCTCTCCATTTCTTGTATTGTCTTGTCCTTCTCTACTCTTCATATTAACTATATTTTACAACAGGTATATGATTATTTTATTATTAGATTCAAGTTATATTGTTGTCAATTATTTCCTGTCTTCCTGATATCTAGCTTAGCTGAACGCTTCAGCAGCAAAGAAAGAAAATAACACAGTTCTTCCAGGGGATTAGTCCTCCCTTCTTCCTTTCTCATCTATTCTTTTCAACATAACTAAATCTTATAGAGCACCCCTATTTATGTGGTTTTCACCCAGAAACACCTTCCACCATCCTCTTATTTTGTCCCACATACTGGTCATGCTCTCTTTTTTCTAAAGTATCCCTTCACCCTGAGTATCTACTTAGTAATTGGGTGTCTATCAACACCTAAGCAACTTGCAGGGTTTGCTAAGAGCACTAATTTTTGACACTGCCAAAACAATCATGTGAAGAAAACATTAGTTAGGAAGCTCAGTCTCCAGAGTTAAGCTTCCCACAATTCCTCTTCAGGGACTATATGAGGAGGAAAGAGGGTCTATATGAGGACATACGTAGTAATCACAAGTTCAAACAATAATCTAGGGAATGTTTAAAAACATATAACCAACAGAATACAAAACCAAGGTCAGATGATTGTAAAAAATTGTACCTCGGCAGGGAAATCCTTGAACAAAGGTAAGAATCGTTTCCGGCAGTAATCATCAAATAAAAGTGTCAGAATTGGAAGAGGTATGGTGAGGCCCGATGCTAGAGGAAGCTTCTTCAGACCAAATATTCCAATAGCGATGACATGCATCAGTACCAGGGAAAAAATTGTGGAGTTGTGAACTTTAGACCAAAATTCTCCTCCAGTGTCGTACTTTGGCACATAAACATTCAAGAGCTGTCACCAAAAGATAATTAAGAGACCATAATGAAGGAAAAAAAGGAAAAGAAATTTTTGGGGAAACCATTAGATATTTGATAAGAAAGAATTTTTAACAGATAATTCTGTTCTATAAGACCATTCTCAATTTAACATTGTGGGATGACACAAAAAAAAAAAAAAAAAGATAACAATTCATCTCATGAACAGGTTGTATAATATTCTGAAATGGAGGAAACAAAGAATAGTTATTGACTTATTGTACAATCGATAAGAAAGACAAAAACCTGAATGGACTCAAAAAGACCCAAATTGAACTATACAGAAAATCTTTTTAAATTTACAACCTACCAACCTCTCCCTGTGACCTTCCCTACAAGTAAATGATCGTACATATTGGAGGCTAGAGCAATTTGCTTGGAAGTTACTACAGGAGGCCGTGTGCAACTTACAACAAGTCAATGATTATTACATACAAATTATTTTTGTCCATAACTTTATATACATACAATTTTTTTTTGCCTATAACTCTATAAGTTCTAATTCGAAAATTAAGTGCATATCATTATCTCAATGGTGCAGGGAACCTTTCAAGAACCAATATTACATATTGGGGAGTGGTTGGTTGGTGGAGCCTACTCCTATGCTAAACAAAAAAAAAAAAAACAAAGAAAAGAAATGCAAATGAAAATTATGCAACTATAATTATACATTAATAAGAAAGGAAACATAAATGCAGATACTGAAATGCAAGAAATTAGGGATTTGCAAACCTGGTTGCGATAAATGATGTATCCCCAACAAAAGTACACCAAGAGGAAGGGCAGTATCAATGGAGCAAGGAAGAAGTAAGTGATGCCAAGAAGAACAAATAAAAGAATCCTGGGGATTTCACTGTGATAGGGGATTGAAGGGGCCTCCAATTCATCAGCACTTTCCCCAGAACAAATTCTATTTTTCAAATTGCAAATAAATCGAAGCAACTGAAAGAGTTCTGATGCTATATTGGTCCATCCAGACGTCACAACATATGCTATGAAGAATGATGCCTACATCAATTATAAAATAGAAGAAATGAACTTCATATCCTCTAATGGACGTGATAATATCCTATATGCAAGATAAAAGGACGTCATTTAAATGAGTGATGTGACGAGTAGTAGCAACTAAAAGATCCATTTATGAACAGAAATGAATTGTATTCCCTCTTTTGCTTGAAATTATATCCATTTCAAACTGAAGTAGCAGATCCTCGCCCCTGCATCTTTGCAATAGGATAGTTTTCCAAGATCCTTTATGGATTGCAGCTCATGATCATTTTTTTAGGCTGAGGACCCAGGAAGCTCCTTGTAGTTAATATACAAGGACAACGACAAACCTTATCCCACTAGGTGGGTTTGTAGTTAGTATATTCTTAATATATTTGCTTCCCCCTGACTTATTTTAGGATGATTCCTCATCCTTTTCTGATATAACTTTCTATAATTTCCCCTAAATGGATTTCTTGTACAAAGAATTTAAGGCTAAGCTTCTGTGAAACTCAATTAATTCTTCAAAGCATTCTGAAAGATTGTATAGCTTGTACGAAAAAGAACCTACCTCCAGGTGCATGTCTTACATTAATAAAAATACACAACTATACGTAAACCAAGTAGGAAAAAGAAATCAATTAAATAGGAGAATAAAATGACATCTTCCAGTAGGAAAGCTCTCTCAAGTACCACTCTGATATAACAGTATGTTACTTGTTCCTCACAGAATATCAACAAACTAACTGTGATCCTCTTAATTCAAATTTTCAAGTCACCAATGCCTTTGATTTACTAATTAGGAAAAACGCAAATCATTCTTGATTGTCTCACAGACATGTCAGATTTCGGTTCATTTATCAACTTGACTTGTAAAAATTTTGAATAAGATGAATGCATTGATTGATTCTCGAGAATGATTACATGGCTATTTATAGAAATGTCATCTTAAATGATGCTTCCTACCAGCAACTACAATTAATTAATTTATCTACCAAGTACATAAATACAAGATCAAATCTACCAACCACCTGTATTAATTATAATTAACAATTACAATATTAATGACAGATAAATAACAAACTACATAATATATTCTAGCAGTTGCTTCAGGATAAAATTCAATTCTGAAATAGTTGTAAACTCTCCCAATAGTTTTATAGAATATGATCCTATTCAATAATCATTTTGACATAAATAATCATATAGACAACCTTTGCTGGTATATAATACTTTAATATGCACAGTATAGTCTTCCCAATCAGCTGTCACTATTTTTAAATATGGCAGAATAGATACCTTTCTTATAAAGGTGAGGGGTTGGTCCATCTTGATAACTATACTTTTTTTTATTAATTACTACAATAATTCAGTAATAGATTTTGGAGGATCTTCATGCTCTGATTCATTTGAACACAGGAAAAAAAATAACTTTGCACACAGGAAAAAAAAGTAGTGTACCATTTGAACTTAGTTTGGACAGCTTAGCTGAATGATTCAATTAGTCATCTTCCTTAAAACTATAAAAGGTCTTTTCAGAAAAACAAATGTCAGCTCCAAATTCAATTGTAAGTTCAAGTCAACAAACCGGATATGCTAAACTTTCACATTTTCCTTCACAAAAATCCTTTAGCCAGATGAGCTTAATAATCCCATTCCCATTCTCACCATGCTAATCCTAATAACAATGAAATGACTGAGCTACAGAACAGCTGGATACTGATAAGTTAGAATCAGAAAGCCAGATAGTGGCAAATTTTATGCAAAATTACTACTTCAAGCGTCAATATCAATCTTTCAATCATGTTTTTAAAGACTTAACTGTATTACCTGAACAACTCATTTCTCTCATACAATTTTTATATTGATGAAACTTTATTTTGAGAACTAGGCCATCAGGCCATTGGCATATAGAGAATATAAATAAAATGCAATTGACAAACATAACAGACCACCAAGAACTAAATCTCCCTCCATAAAATATTGGAACACCTTTTGAAACTTCATGCAACTATTTCGTCAGGATGAAAAAACATTAAATATTATCACCTGTGCAGGTACAGCTTCAGCCAGTATTGTGGGAATCTCTTTTGGCTCTAGAAAGACATTCACCCGGTAGAGAGCAGACCCTGATAGCACGTTTGCAAAGAATATGTTCCATATGGTAAACCATAATACTTTAGTGCATGCACTTTTCTGTATCTGACTCCATGAGATGTATCCTTGCAAGGATGAAAGCACAATCATACTAGGTGGCACAACAGACAGAAACAATTGCAGAATCAGACTGGGAAGATATCCTGTTATAACTTGGCTCACAACTGCCCTGCAAATAAATAAGAAAAGCTCTACTTCAATTGCAGTAGTTATCCATGATGGGAGAAGAAAAAGTGATGCTAACTAAAACAAAACAATAAACTATACTCTCAACTCAGAATCCAACCTCAACTGGTCACCTGACAAGGGACATAGCACACTCATGTAATCCAACAACAGATACTTGCATGCACTCACTATTAGCTTGGGTAATAGATATTCTATGTAGGATGAAATATTGATGACAACATAAATAAAAAAATAGATATATTCTGTGTTCTTATGGTGAAATGAAGACGTGAATATCATTGATAATAATGTTATCTAGACATAAACTTTAACAATAGTTATTATACTATTGGAGATAGTCATTTGATTAACTTTTGGTGCCGCAAAACAGTACAGATACTACTTGGATTATGTTCTACTTTAATGTATATCAGGTGAGATTTGAACGATCAGTTTTGCTCTGCCACATGAGAGTCATAAACACTGGAGAGAGTTAGCGGCAAAGAGCGAATCATTATAAATGTCTCTACTTTGAGTAGGTGTTATAGAAAAGCCAGTAAGAAGAACAAAAACAAAAAGGAGAACAGTTCCTCAGGAGATCACTCCAGCTTCCCTTAACACAAATAAATAAGCCCCACTTGAGAAAACCATAACAGTAAGGCAAATATGACGGAAAGAAGTCTGCTAAAAACATATTGTGCAGGCTATAAAAGCTTCCTTAAGATTCAAGCTTAATGTATAAGAAACTGCAAAGGGAGCGCAACTTCATAACAACCTACAAACATTTCTTCAGACAAATTTCTGCTTCAAAAAGAGGGGTAAAACCTCCAAGTTAGAAGGAAAAATTCAAAGCTACTTAGAAATTTTGGACAGACTCCAACTTGGAAGGAGAATGGTGGACCAACCGCCAAGCCTTTCCCACTTTCATCTCAGATGCGTGTCTATTAAATGATAATCCATATGATCACAATCTTCATATTATCATGGAAAATTGGAGCTACTAATCTACCTCTAGCAGGTCATTTGACAATTCTTCAAAGATTCTAAGAAAAATGGGATATGTGATTTTCTCAATATATTACACTGGGGCAGGGGATCTGCAAAAAACCAAATTTTCTACGTACAACTAAATTTCTATAATCTTCTGATTCAGAAAACAAGGAAACCAAACTCTAAGGAATTGAAAACAAGAGCCTCGAAGAGACAGACAAATAAAGAGACAAGGTGGGAGACGAGGCAATAACTCAAGGAGAAGGTAAAAAAACATAATATTAAAAAGAACTTTTTCTGACGTATTCATTTATCACATGCACAGTTTCTCTATATTCATTTGCTTAACCCCCTTTAGAAGTTGGTGACCACTAATAAATTTCATGTATATGGTCTGTGTATATGAATTGTTTGCTTGAAGTTTTCCTGCATTTTGGTTTAGGTGCCATCAGGAAGGTCAATAAAAAAGAAGTGCATTGTGCTTGTCACTTGATGTGTTGCTCCACATCGCCAAGATATCAATCACTAGTTGATATATTAAGTTAAATATCTGGACAGAATTTGAAATCCATCTATCATATGGCCATTCATATGCAAACAACTCTTAGGTAGTATTCAAGTTGCGTGATGGATCCTGTAACAATTGGTAGGAACAGAACCCTTCAAGGAGAAGGCCCATATAAGCAAGATGTAAGTAAAAGAAACATAGGGATCTAAAATATGACTGTTGTTCTTCATGCCAGACAAAGTAGGTAGTCTCCAAAATGAATGAGAGTAAATTTGATACATGGGAATTAGGAACAATACCAAAATTCCCTATTATTCCTAATTCCCATGTACCAAAATTACACAAGCATTCCCTAACATTTATTGAAGTTACACAGGCCCCCGTTTTATTTTCAAAGTATACATGGACCACTTCTAAAATATGAAGTTGGACTTCATTTTAGTCCAATTTAAAATTTTTAAACTAAAATACCCTCCACTTATCTAAAAGCACATTAAAAAATAAGTAAACTACCCTCTTAAATATGTTCTAATATGGAGGCCATTTTAATCAAGAAATTTAAAACTGAATTAAAGTGTGCATTGTGAAAATAAGAGGGTATATAACTAAAGAAAATATGGAGGTCTATGTAAATTACTCTAAGTAAAAAATAGACCTCCATAAAAAAAATAGAGTCAGAGACAAAATAGTGTATCAATGATGATGAAAATATGACTTGATCAAACAGGTAAAACTTCCCACTTACATTCTTAGTATGCTTTTAAGAAAAGGGAACCAGGTTTCCAACTGCTCCAGATTGGTAAGACCTTGTACTATTGCCACTGGGATGAAAAATAGAATTGTAAGTGCAGCACAGGCAAAAATAGCCACAAGCTTCCCGATCCATCTTTTAATGAATGACTCAGAAAAGAAAGGCCAATGCACATCAAGGGGCTCAGGAGCTTTCTCAGTAATCCATTCTGTGGGATTGACACCTTGAATGTTTAAAGCTATTGCAGCTCCAAATCTAGACTTAAATGAGACAAAGGCAGCTGGAACTTCCTTAAAAGTTGAAAATGGTGATCATCCTCATATCAGCTTAATTTTCAAAAAAATAGATCTATTGTAGGACAAAATGTTCATGGAATAAAAGTTAAATCTAGAAGTCAGAGATCAAATTGTATGTGCTAAACTAAGCTATCTAAAACCCAATCCAACCTCACACTGACTAAGCTCAAAATTATTTAATGTAGAAAATGCGTTGATTCAGTTAATTCATTTATGATACATTGCTCGGCCAATACAGCATATCCAAACCATGTGCTTTAGTAAGAAATTTATACTTTCTTTTCTGGCTCTACTTCCATTTATTTGATGTCAGCATATAAGTGTCCGCATGCTCACTTCTTCTGACTATAATGTCTTGACAGAATTTCTTTTGCTTTGACACTTCGCATCTTGAAATAGCAAGAAAACATCATAAAAAATGAAAGGGGGAAAAAGTGTAAACATCTTTATCATTGTTATTCTATTTTTCTCCTCTTTAATTTCTATCTCCAGCTTCATTTCGTTTAGAGATGGAATATGAAGATGTATATCCCTATCTATTGTGCTGTCATCACATATTTCAGCAATCAACCTGATCTGTAACACAAACGGCCTTCATCTTAATGACCCAAATAAGATTAAAGTTGTATTTACATTTTACAATTGATTCCATTTATATCAATGAAAATGATAGCCCAATAAATACTATAAATTTATCATCACTGGAGTCATATAGATTATGATCAGCCATTGAAGATACCTTTGCTGATAGTGAAGACTGTTCCATTCTCAAATTATCTTCTATGTCTTGCAGCCTCCTTTCTAAACGATCAACTTTATGCCCAAAAAGTCCAAAACATCCATCACACCTTTGCCTTTGAGAAGCTTCACTTTTATCCTTTATTTGTGCAAATTTTTTGTACAGTTTCTCTGCATCATTCTTCAAAACTGAACTTTTAGCAGTCAAAAACACAAGAAAGGTAACGTTATAATAAGATTGAAGATAAGTACAAGATTATATGTTTTAGAAGATCAAAACTTCATTACAATGCACAATGCGAACGTGAAAACCAAACCTAACCTCACTCCCAGGGAAAAAAACATTAGGTAGTGTACATGAAAGGACAAAGAAACTCTAATTGAAGAAAGACTAAAAGCATCCCTGAATCTAAAAGATTTGTCCTTAATCTAAGTAAATGAAAATTGATCCCTAACAAACCCCCTAATACTGTAGCAGTGAATTTGAAACCAGTGGATTATAATTATAAGAACAAGATGCATAGAATCCAATCACCACATTACTTGATAAAAATATGCAACAAAAGATTTAAATGTTATTTGATGGCCAAAAAGAGGATTTTAGTCTCCAACAGACTTGATATTGAAGATTCTATGAAAAAGCATTACACTTAAAGAGCACCTCCAGGGCAATCACACAAATCATTGAGGTTGAAACATAAATTGGATGCATAAAATCATTGAACAGAACAGGTAGAAAATGCCACAATGTTACTGACATGGTAGTCAAATAGTAGTTCCTAAGGAACCACATCCCATCCTCCACTATTTCTCCATGTAACTAGTGGCTTTAATACCCCTGATGCAAAATAGAGATAAGAAAGAGAAGGATTAAGGAAAGGGAAAAGAGGAAGAAGAGAGATAGAGAACAGAGATAGAGGGGAAGAGGAGAAAGAGGGGCAAGAAAAGGAAAACTTGTTACTACTATTGCATTAGTTCAGATCCAATTATTTACGTGCACACACCTTATACAGCTGTTGGCTTATTAACATTCACTAACTGCCTCAACTTGCTCAGGAACCACACAGCCACCTAAGTAATTCATACTCTCCCATTTATTACATAATAGAACAGCATTACAGCAACCATGAAGGCTATGAGGTAGTGAACAGTAACAATGAAAGCTGCAGCAAAATTCCTAGGCTCTGATTCAAAATGGGTTTTAATTCATTGATTTCATTGATTCAAAACTCATGTACAAAGACAGCATATATACAGCATGAAGAAGAAAAGATCAGGTCCAAAGATTCTATTCTATCCTACGTAATCTGCCTAAAATGGAAAAACATACCAACATAATATTTGACATATCTACATTAAATAAAATTAAATGCTAAAATCGCATAAATCTCGCAAGTCGTCACAATCATCTGGTTTAAATGAAAATGCAAGAATCCTAGACTATTTTTCTTCACAACTTTGACAAATACGCTTGCTTCTTTGCCTCATGGGTTTCTTTTATGTTTCTTGTTTAAGATGCAGAGGGGAGAGATTAAAAAAAATAGAACCCCAGAAAAATGCTTACTATAAGACTTTGGAGTTTGTTGCTTCGCCGTATTACAGAATGTGAAAGATAAGTAGAAGGATGATACTCCTTGAAAAACCTCTCAACAGTTTCATTGCAGGTGCTTCCAGGAGGAACAGGAATACCACGGACTAATATGGTAAATTGATGGGGCAGGGGTTCAGATGAAAAAAAGTGAGCAAGTCTTTTTGATGAAATATGGCCATACTCCTGGTGGCAATATAAACATCATGCATGAAATTCAACCACTGCCTTTATGTAAGAATTGGAAAAAAAAAATTATGACATTAACAAGATAGACATGAACTTACATAATAAAGAAGATAGCAGACAACTCCGGTGAAAACATAAGCAGCACAAAAATGAATCCATAACCTTGAAAAAGACAGTTCTAGTAATTAGACTGTCTAGATTACAGATTAGAAAATCAATACATAAAAATCAAAGAAATTTCAATGATATTCATGAAATGTATCTTTCAATTACAATTTTAGTGTAACAACAAGCTTTATTTCACTAGATGAGGTCAACTACATAGATCGCATTACACTCAACAACCAAATCTTTTTGCTAAATAATAAACAATGTAAATACAAATAATTAATAAAATTTTTCAGTACTTATTAGGATAAATTTCCATCCATCAGAGACAAAATTAGTTCTTTAAATCCAAAAATTCACTATGTAAATGCATGACACCAGTAAATCAGGCTAGTTATCTTAAAAGAACCTCAACTGCTGTTTTCAGGGACAGGAACAGAGGACTGAAAAATATTTGAAGCCAAGACAAGATTAATATGTTATCTTGTTGAATATACACTTACAGCATAGAGCTTTATTAGAGAGGGGGGAAGCCGAAAAGGTCAATTTTTCAACAGAACCAATGAGTCAAAGCCATTTAATCAAATAATTATAGAACAAAGCAAACCTACCCCCTGCCAGTAATTTTTGCTACTGATAAAGTATCCTTAAATTCTGCTCCTCACAAAGCACATTTCAAGCAGCTTTTTTAATATAACATATTTCCATGTGCGAACTTTTGGATATTAACTTAAAAAAACTTTTTAACTTTGGCATATACTCATAACAGTAATCAAGTATCAACACTTCATATATCTACTAATCTTCTTCATCAACAAATAATTCCTAAGATCAGGTTAGCTGAAGATATTCACCTGTTTGAGCCATTGTTGACATTAGAAATACTGAATGAGTCCAAAGACTTATTTTGAAAGTCTGAATGATCACTAAGCTGACTTCCCATATAATTGATTGGAAGAAGAAGGAAGATCCCAACAATTCCACCAATAGAAAATACTCTCAAACTGTATAATTATCACAAGAGAGTAAAATGTCATCTGAACCGAGTGAAACACTAAACAAGTAAAGAGAATACATAAAGTAGGTGGTCTTAGACAAGAAAAGGAAAAATAATATCAGTAAATCATATTAAAGCGACTCAGATAGCAGAGCTATTGAACAAATAAACACCACTTTCAAGAAGCTAAAACTTAAGTGTCACTTCAGGTAGTTCATATTTGCTGATGGATAAGTAGATAATAGATTTGGGTAATTAGAGAAACAGCATGATTTAAATTCAAATTTAGAATCAATAAAATGATTTCAATTACCTAAATATAAACATGCGCATGAAGATAAAAGCATCTAAACCAGATTTCGATATCAATTCTTCTTCAGAGGGCTCCCATGCTTTTTTCACCCAACTAGCAGAAGGTAATAGCTGTTCCAAGTTAAAATGATCTCCCTGTTGAAATTTTCCTTCAGTTACCAAGCGTGGAGCATAGACAGTGATATTACCAGGCTGCTTCCTCAATATAGAGTACAGGGTGAAAAATAAAAAACAGAGCCCAAGGTTGATTCCAACAGAAGTTAAAAGAGCAGAAAGAATCATTCTTGAAATTTGATTTAAAACAAGCAGATCAGTTAATCAAAGACAACTGAAGTAGCAGAACTGAAAAAAAGAATTTCATAATAGTTGAACCTGCAAAAACAATATGATATACATTAATACCAAATTTAGGACAAAATTCATGAAAATATCTTATGTAAATATATACAAAGTCACGCAGGATAACCATCAAGCAACGTTCATGAAGCAAGCCTCACTCATTTTAGCATATGATAAATGAGAATGAGTGTGGTTTCCAACAAAAAGGGAGGATTAACAAACATGTAGCAAGTTGCAAATTACTCAACCTCTTGGACTCCCCTCAGGACGAGGAATACAATTCTTAACTTTTCTTGGTTATCTCAAAGCTAGGTATCTTCATTAGGTTTTGGAAGAATCTGTGGGCTGAGTATATTTCTTCCTCTAAGACCTATTCCCTTCTTTTTTGCCCCAAACTCCATAGGTACATTTTACACTTACAGATTCTGGTTTTTCCTCAGATCTTGACGATTTACCAGCTAACTAATTTACAATATCTTGTTCTTTCACTTGTCTGTTCGATTTTCTTGAAAAAATGGAAAGTGTCTGGACCTTCGATCCTTCTTGTATTAATACATCTCAGCTAACCATCCAATACTTACAAATTCTATGAAAGTTTTAATCCAGAGAAATCCGTCTTGCCAGTCCTCTTTGCAAGCAAAAGTACTTCTAGACTCAACTCTTCCATTAAGACTGCAGGTCTCAACTTTTTTTTTTTTCCTTTTAAATATCAATTCTTAGTAGTAAAAATATTAAAATACATAAGGTCCTTTTATGATCCACGGTGAACAACTAAAATCAGAAAAAATAAGAGGTCGTCGACTGCAGTGCTTAACTGAATTAATGCTGGATGTTTAACCATCCTTTTCTTTCTTTCTTTCTTTCCTTCTTTCTATCTTATGCAGTATCCTGTTTCCTTGGGAAGATACCTAATCCTCCTCATTTGTATCATTCTTCTCTTGATATAAGATTGTTCATTTACTTATAAATAAAAAATCCACTAATTTACAATTCAGAAATTTTAAGCTGGTCACTGTTGAAAAACTGACATTCATTGAATTCAAGTGGATGCCTAAAGTTATGAACTGTCAAAAAGGTACAACTTTAACCATGACACTAGTTGTCTAGTTCTTATGGGCACCATGAATTGGTGTGTCTTTACTCCTTAAACATAAACTACACAGTATGGAAGCAACACAGGGGTCACCAAATTCAACTTTCACTTTGACTTGAAACATAATCTACAAAGAAAAACTTTGATACTTAATCATCCTAGGAAAGCACCAAATCATCAGGAATCAATAAAAGGCAAATTCCACGATATATCGACTTAAGTAAGAAAGAAAATGTATATTTTATAGCGGGAAAATCCTTCAAGTCCTTTCCGTCCCTTTTCGTTGCTAACCTTATTTCAGCTCAAGTATTTAACCAAACATCAAACATCAAACATCGTTTGGAAACGGATAAAATTTTAACAGCAAATTGATAAAGTCTAACCATGAATCTTGACATTCAAGCATGCAGTCTTCGCAATTCCTTTCCAGAGATGATACATGCATAACATATCAAAACAAACAGAGAATTGTGCATTCATTTGCAAAACAAAGCAACTGTGAGCCCAATCAATCATGGAAAAGGACAGAAAGATTAACAGTCCAACTCACTGCAACCAGCTTCCCAAACATCAATGGCAAACAGATCTATTATGGAAATTAACAAACAGTGCAGGCAATGATAAAAGTGTAAAAGCATATCCAGAACGAACCAAAACAAAAACGGAGAGAAGAATGGAAGAGTTGCGAGAACCTCGCGAGGGAGGAAATGCGGAGGAAAGGGTGAGGCACCAGAAGCAAGCGTAGCAGAATGGGAAAGCAACGAAGTTTCGATCATGAAGATGTTACAGTACGAATCCCGAGACAGTTGATTTTGCTGGCTCCCGCCTTTTTAGCTGGCGTCGCAATTCAGCAGCCACGTGCACAGTGACAGGCTTATTCCGACAGGCTTATTCCGTAACTAGATTTTGACCGTGTGATGCACGTTAATATTTTTTTTTAACTTGTTTACAAGTATTGTAAAAGCTTATTAAAGATATTTTTTCGAATGTTTGTAAAGATCTTTTATCATTTAAAGGGTAAGAATAAAATAAGAAAATTAAAATTTTAAAATAGCTTATTTTTATGTACTTGTAATATATTATTTTATGTAGATTTAAATTTCAATAAAAATTTATTCTATTATAAAATTATTTTACTATTCATTCACTGTATATGAACAGTAACAATTTAAAAGATAAAAATTAAAAATAATTTTTTTATGTACTCAAAATAACATATTTTATTAATTTACTTAAATTAAAATTTAAATAATAATTTATTCTATAGTAAAAATTGGTTTGACCATACATATTAAAGTTTTAACTATGCCTGTTAATTGTGATATTATTAAATTTAAAACTGAAAAATCATTATAGTATTATTTTGTATATATAAAAAGTACAATAAACTCATAAATAGGTCTTTTACCTTTCATTTTTACCATAAGCCATACATAATCTTTCAATGTACGATTTTTTTTAAAAAAAATAAGCCAATATTTATCCCAGTTTGAGAGTATATTTTGAAAATAAAATTAAAAAGTATTTTATATAGAATTTTTTATTTCATGTGAATTAAGATTTGAAATAATAAAAATTATCATCTAACTATACATGCATATTTTTTATAATTTATATAAATTGAGTTTCTAATTTCATTGCAATAAAACATTCTATTTTATGATTTATTATTTAAATTTATATTTTATAATATAATTAATTATCTTATACATATATACAAAATACAAGAAACAAATAATATGTAGAGTTCCTACATTTACCAAAAATATTATGCCTTGTATTATTGTTTATTATGAATCATATATTCACAAATATTTTTTATTATGGGTACCACGCTTTTTTATGGGCCTCATATGAGATTTTTTTTTTTTTCGACAACCCACATTAGATTTTAGTTTACAAGAATTATTTTTTAAAAAATATATATGGTTATTGTTCATTCAACTATACATGAACAATAACCATTATGCACTCACATGCACACACATATTATTATATTCTTATTCACAGATTCCTGTGAACTTATATTAATCGACAAGTTTTTATATATATGTACGGAAACAGATCTACGTTCAAGGAGATGGGGGTAGCTGTCCCCATTAAAGTCGCCTCTTACATGTAATAAATGGAAATTTTCACTTGCCCCTCCAAAAAAATTGTCATTTGCCACCTCCCAAAATATTGCTCTTGCATCACTTAAATTTTTTAAAAATCTCAGTTTTCACCACCTAAACATTTTATCAATCATTCAATCATGGAAGTTAATGTTATTTATCTGCTAATTTTGTAGGAGATAGGGATATTAATTCGAACAGCTAAAAATAATGCTGGCTCACATTATATAAATGTAAGAATATAATAAAATATTATTAAATATTTTTCAACTTCTCAACTAAAATACTAATCTTTATTTGCTAAAAGATAAAAAGGTTAGATTTTTTTCATTTTTAATTTCTACTCATTCAATAATACCTTCTAATAAAATAGAAGATAATTCAAATTTTTGGTAATAGAGAGTATTTAATAGTGCCTCAAGCAGGATTGCCTAACCAATAGAAGAATATTTATAAACAATAAAAATAAAAAATAATTTTTTAATTGTTCATATTGAAGATATTTATTCTAAAAGAGTAGAATTATTTTTACAACAAAAGAGCATACTTATTCTATCGTTTTCAATACAATATGCTTTTTTCTTATATCAAGATAATTTTATTTTTAAATTGTTATAATTTTATAGTTGTTTTATTTTTATGTATTTACTTTTAAATAAAATATTTTTATTTTTATTGGCTTAAATAAATTATAATTTAAAATTAATTTAATAAAATATTTAGAATTATATTTCAAAAATATTAATATTCATGTTATATAAAACTTTCTCCCACAAACAAAATTTGCTAGGTAAGTCATTGTACATGTATAGTATAACATTATATAATATAATATATTGTGTGATAAATACCAAATTCACTTCCTACTAGCATTTTACTAGAATTAATTAAAGCTAGCTAGCTAGTTAAATATTTTTAATTTATATATAGATTCGTTAAAATTTTGAACACAAAATAACTCACCTAAAATAGAGAGAAGTAGGAAAATAAATTAAAACTGACATGCAAGATTTATTACCTCTTTTATTCTCACAAACAGAGCCAGACAAAATGTACCGCCCTTTTTCTCTACCCTTTTCCGTGCTTTGAACTAAACACCTTCTACTTGTTAATTACTAGTTAGCCATCTAAGCTTATTTAAAATGGGCCCAAAAATAGGCGCCGTGTGTAGTTCCTTCCCGCCATCATTATAATTTCAGTGCATCTTGATAATATACTGTTAGCTCTAGATCCAATAATAATATAACTCTTGTTTCTTCTAAATGGTCAAGAGGTAGTAGTGTAATAATTTTTTGAAAAGTTATATTATAAATTTCTAAGTTCTTTATATATATAGAGAGAGAGAACCACCAAAAAACATTAGTTCTAGTAAAATAGGTTATAGCTGCATAACTACAAATTATTAAGTTCAAATCCATGTAAATGTTAAAAAGACTTTTGGAAGAGTTATCTTCATGAACTGGGCTCAACAATACTCGCTCAATAAGATAATCATATAAAAAAAATTTAGAGCCATCTTGTTTAATATTTAAAAAAGATCATTTTAGTAAAGCTGTCAAGGGTATGGAAGAGTTGTTGAGAAATTTAAACTAATTAAATAATGAAGGGATGTATTGGGAAAAAGAATTTGATAATTTTTAAATTAAATTTTAATTTGAACAGTGGACGCCGTAAAGAAGAAAAACCAAGTCCGATGATTACTGCGTTCGGCAGCTTGAAAGGGTGCATACGGGTACGGGGAGCTGTCAACAGAGACCAGTGATAGTTGCCGAGGAATCCCGCCCAAAAATGCGAAACAACGAATCTCACCAATAGCCTCTTGTACTGTCCAAAGTCCTACGTGTTGTTTCTTCCAGAAACCACCTTGGTAAAAAATTTCACATCATCAATATCAATATATCTATAATCTACATCTATAATAACTGTTCCCCGTAGTTTCCTTAGCTACAGTAACTCCTTTGTTTTTTCCTTATTTTGTCAGCATCTGAAATGGCATGCCACCTATACAATATTATTGTTGTGTACGCATTATTTGAAATAGAAATAGCTGTTAGAGTCGAGAATATGGGCTGACTTAATGGACTGTCCATTTAAGCTCGTTTTAATAAGGATTTAACTTAAAAATTTAATATTTTTTGGGGCAACTGAGCTTCGAAGCTTGGCTCTTTTAAACTATAGAAAAACGAGCTCGGGCTCGAGCAGCCCGTGAAACCCGTTCTACTTTTTTCTCCTTAACTAACTTAAAATACACCATATGAAGTACAGATCAAGAAAATTTATAACATTTAGCATTAGCTCCCGTATTCTCACAGAGTATCGCTTTTACCTCTTTTCAGATAACGTGCAAACATTGATTTGTACTCGCAATTGATTGAATTGTTTGGTGCCATTTTATGATAATTTTTATATTTTATCTTGTGATATATGTATAGATATATATTTGATAATAACACAATTTAATTAATAATTATTGTAGGTGACGATGAAAAAGCTGCAGAAATAATTAATATTGAGCCTCCGCCTCTATCTTCCACAAGTGGACCTACATTTGAGAATTTTAATATTTTATTTGTAGATGATGATGAGGGAGATGTTGATTGGGATTGATGATGATGTTTGCCTTCATCTTATTTGGATTTTTAATTTTTTTGTTCATTTTTTAGATTATGTGAGACTTTAGTTTGGTGTATGTTAAATTTTAAAATATTTTAAATAAATTTTAATGTTAAATTTTATTTTATTTTATTTTTATCCGGGCTTACGGGCTTGGCCCTGAGTCCTTTGAATAAGGGCTAGGCTTTAATTTTAAAGTAAAATTGAGGTAACTGGATTTTAGGGCCTAAGCCCATAAGGGCCGAGCCCATATGGGCTAAGCTCGCCCGTTTACCAACTCTAATGGCTGCACATCAAATATAAGTTGGATTCAAAGAGTCTAATAAACCCACTTGACTAGGGACCCGATTTCGGTGCTCATCTTATCAAAACACTGCTGTTTGACAGTATTTTTTTCTTTTATTTTTTAAACCACAAATTTATTATAATAATAAATTATTATTGTAAAATTATTATTTTAATATTTAATAAACTATAAAATATTAAAATGTTAAAATTAAACCTAAATAGTTTAAATAAAAATTTTGGTCTGAACATTGAAAACTATACTGAAAAAAATAAAAATTAATTTGAACAATTTAAAATAAGAGTTGAATCTAGCAAAATGAACCAGTTTCATGCACTGTAATAAATCAATGTTTAAATTCCTATTAAGAAAAGTACCTATGTTTAATACCTAACTATACCTTGAATGATATTATCTTTCATAGATAAACAACTGTGCAAAATCAATAAAATAAAAAAAATATTTTTATTTTCAATTTTAATATTTTCAATACAGTTCTAAATTGTTCAAATCAAAATTTATATATGAACTATTCAAGTCAAATTTTAATGAGTTAATCTATTCATATTTAATTTTAACATCTTAATATTTATTTATTTATTTAATATTAAAATAATAATTTTATAATATTTATTTATTATTATAATACATTTGTAGTTTAAAAAACAAAAAAAAAAAAAACTGCCGTTGGGCACCGAAACCGATTCCCTTGACTGAGATATTTTTTTCCCTTCCCACTCCAGCATTTTTTCACCAAAAGCTCTCCACCATGGTTGAAAAAAAATTTCTCCTTGTCCAGCCATTATTGCACCTAAAAGGGCATTCATGGCTTGGGTGTTATTGGGAACTTTATTTTACTGGTTCAGGCATTCTTGCATGAAACTGGCAGCCCCTGAATTCTTCTATTATTTCGATTTCTCCCGTCAAAAGCAGGCCCAAAAAAAGTTGTTCCATAAAACGAATTCGCCTGCTTCTTCACTCAAGTCAGTAGCATATGCCCACTCTCTCCCTCTCGCTTAGTCGTTTCTTTATGCGTTCCTTTCCCTCTTTCTTCTTCATCACTCCCTTCTTTCCCTCCTTCTCTCTCTTCTTCGTGACTCCTATTGAAGGAGGTTTTCACAGGAAGCCACCGACGAGAATCCGAGAGGGAAGTCGCGAACGACTACGACAAGACATTAATCTCTGGTCCAGAACGACTACAGAAAATTCATTGGTCAATCCCTCACTAATTTTTTTGTTGTGAAAATTCGTTGCCGTTTTTGTTCGAGATTAATCCACCACAATTTCCCACCCAATTACTAACAAGTAACAAGACAAGTTTTCCTTTGTTAATAAGTTTTCCCACTTTTTCTTCCTTTTCTTATGATCTACCAATAATGTTTCGTCACCTGCCTGCACCTTTTCAATATGTTTTCTAAACATTACCACATTACTTTGCATGACGAAAGTAGCATTTTGCTTATGTCTATCTTAACAACTCCTCATGTTGACAGAAATAATGCCATGGATCAGGATGAAGCTTAAGATGAACCACCTTTAGAGGGTGATAGGGATATGGTTGTTGAACCGAGACGGTCCCAAAAGGTTCGCAAGTCTGCTATTCTAGATGATTACATGGTGTATTTGCAGGAATTTGATTCAGATGCTATTGATAGCTTAGACCCAATATGTTACCAAGAGGCTATTTCTATCTCGCATTCTTCTAAATGATTGGAGGCTATGAGTGAAAAAATTACTTCTATGTACCGCAATCACGTATAGGAGCTTATAGAGCTACCAAAGGGTTTTAAACCAGTGGGTTGTAAGTGGGTCTTTAAAACAAAACGAGAAGCTAGAGGTGAAATTGATAGATATAAAGTCAGACTCGTAGCTAAAGGCTACAACCAGAAAGAAGATATTGATTACACAGAAACCTTCTCTCCAGTATCCACTAAAGATGCTTTTAGAGTGATAATGGCTTTAGTTACACAGCTTGATCTTGATCTTCACCAGATGGATGTCAAGACTTCATTCTTGAATGACAATTTGTATGAAGAAGTCTACATGACACAACCTGATGTTTTGTTGAATCTGGTAAAGAACATCTAGTATGCAGATTGAAGAGATCCATCTATGGGCTAAAACAGGCCTCTAGACAATGGTATCTAAAGTTTGATAAGTTATCACCTCGCTCGGTTTTGTTGAGAATGTCTCAGATCAGTGTATTTATCATAAGTTTGATGGTTTGCCATTCTTGTTCTCTATGTTGATGATATCTTGCTAGCCAGCAATTCAATAAATTTCCTCAATGAGATAAATCACCTATTGTCTTGCCATTTTAACATGAAGCCTCCTTCGTTCTTGGGATACAGATTCATCGTGTTAGATCTGTATATCTCAATTCATATAAACAAGTAAAGTAATATATGCGTACCTGAAGAATCCATAAGCGCTTGAGAAAGCTCGATTATCCTCGAGTGTAGGCAAATACACAACCCACAGGTCTCCAGAGCCTTCAGAGAGTTCAGAGATAATAGAGTAGAAGAAAATGAGTCGTGTGTCTGCGGTTATCGACTAATATAGATCAGATATGTAATCGCCTTATCAAATAATTAATAATTATATTATCTATTATCTCTGACTCAGTCAATTAAGAGATAGAAAATAACTAATGGGTACTGGGTTGTGGATTGGGCCTCTGCCCATTAGGCTTACTTGTGTGGTCCACCTATCACGGTCCATACAAGATTATAAAAACCAAAATATTGGACCTATTAATTAATGCTAATTCGTAAATAATATTCCAACAATTTCAAGAAGTGATTGTTACCAACATGATATGCACATTGAAGAAAAGCATACATGTTAATTCAAGTTTCTCGTCAAATATTAAATAAATTCATTCAAGGATCCTTCATTATTGGTATTCTCTCTTTACTTTAGTCTTTACTGCTAATAGATTTATATTTGCATTCACCGACTTCATTATTTTCTGAATCAAAAATACTACTGTACTAAACTAAATTTAACAAAAAAATTTGTAAACTATTTAAGAGTAGTAAGACATGTTCGTATCATGCATGCATTTTACTGGATGATTATCTTGTGGCAGTGACTACAAGACTTTTTCATCTATTAAAGGCACTCTTAAAAAACATCATTAAATTTAGATGCAATTCCCTAGTCTTCTAATTAATAATACATTATCATTGACCATTTCAAGGAAGAAACTTTAATATTCTATCGTGTCATATTTTGATGGTGTAGAACTAATCTCAGACATCTACAAAACGGGATCTCTTATTTTCCAAAAAAAAAAAAAAACAGAGGGAGAAACATATTACATATATGCGTGTGGGTGTCTATATATACACATCCAACTAAAGCAATTGTGATCCCATATCGCCATCAATATTTTTCAACATCAGCAGAAGCAAAACTCGATCGCGATCGAACTCCGAAAAGAATGTCGTACAATGACGAGGTTGACGATTACGATGAATATGATCCTACGCCCTACGGTGGTGGATACAAAATCGATGTCACCTATGGCCACCCCATCCCTCCCTCCGATGAAACTTGTTACCCAATCTCCTCCTCTGGTTCAGGTTCACAATATGGATCTAGCCATGGTTACAAGCCTAGCTATGGCAGGGAGGAACAAGATAGTGGATATGGCTATGGAGGAAGAAACGAAAGACCTAGCTATGGTGGAGAGGAACAAGATAGCGGATATGGCTATGGAGAAAGGAATGAGAGACCTAGCTATGGTCAAGAGGAACAAGAAAGTGGTTATGGCTATGAAGGAAGGAATAATGAGAGACCTAGCTATGGACGAGAGGAACAAGATGGTGGATATGGTTATGTTAGAAGGAACGAGAGGCGTAACGATGATGATTATGGTGTAGAAAACCAAGGATATCGTAAGAAATATGTAAGTAGTGTTCTCTTTTTCTTTACCCAATTTGATGTCTGATCTTGTTTATCAGCTTTCCTTCATAACAATGCATGTGGGACTTGCTTGCCTTTCTAGTTTCTAGCCCTTTTATGCATGGGTTTTTTTTTTTTTTTTGGCTACCCATATTTTAAAATTTGATTGTATTTTATTGAATTCTTTAGATCCATATGAATATATAGGATTCATTAGTTTTTGACATTAATGGTTTTAAATAGAAAAAAAGTTAGGTGAAACTTTATCTTACATTTTTTATATATATTTATATCCTTATTAAATACTATATATAAGTATTTTAATAATAAAAATTTAAATTTTAATGCATCATTTTGTCAAAGAATAATAAATAAAGTAGGAGTACAGTTGAAATACAATTAAAAAAAATTTATTCAATGTTTTATATTTTAGATCAAACAAAACTTTTAAAATATTTGCAATATTATGGTAAGGAAAGATTAATTCTAAAGCATTTGGAAAATAAAGATATGCAGTTAAGTGAATAATTATGATGTATTATAGATAATATATTTATATATATAAACACTATGTACATTCACATTATTTTTTATATTAATATTGAAAGGATATAATTTGTTACCAACACACGCGAGATGATATGTATATATAGAAGTTACGGGACTGTATGGTTAAATAATAAGTTGGATTTTGAGTGAAATATTTCTTTTTCTTTTCCAATGATATATATATATATATATATAAAAGCGAGTTTTTACAAGTGATTGATGGATTTAATGTTGGATTAATTATTTTGATTGTATAAATGATATAGGGAGATGATAGTGAGGATGAGAGTAATTACGAGAGAAGGAAGCATCATTACAAGGATAATGGGGAGGAGGATGAAAGGAGGAAACATGATCATCATCACAGGAAGAGATACGATGAGAATGAAGAAAGAAACGAGGAAGATGACGATGACAGGCAAAAGTATCATTACAAGAAGAATTACGACGACGACGACGATACTGAGAGGAGAAACCATCATCGCTACAAGAATTATGGCGATGAATAATCATAACACGTACACTTCATGACTGCTTTGTCTTCATTCGTGAATGCAAGAGCGTCATTTATCCCTTTGATTAATAACGGCAGGAATAAGTCAAACATAAATTAGGGCATGTTTTTCACTTGTTATTTGAGTCTTCATTTTTCTTCGCATGCTGTTGTTGTTTACGGTTCCTGAGTTTTAGGTAATGAAAAACCTAATATTCGGGTTGCTTACTGATACGCGTTATGTATAGAGTATTGAACTCACTTGGAAATTGGAATAATATATATTAACTGGCCCTGGCATTTATATTTGTCTAGGGCTGAATCTGCCAGGTTTTTTTTCCCTTCTGTGTGGCTGATGTGGATTAGTTCTTTCATAAATAGCATAGCAAATTAAATGATTATATAGTTAAGTTGTTCCCGCTTCATAAAAATCTAATTGATATTACAACACTGATTTAGACAAATTTGAATTCTATAAATGTCCCAAATCTTCTCACTCAATGAGCAGACAATCTAAAGGTAAGATTATTGATGCTCGTAATTTCATATTTGACAATAAACAAATGAAATAGTGATTTAACTGACAGTTTTATACATTTATATTCGAGGATAGATTTTAACCATAATTTTTTTGCAACCATATAAATTGTTAGATAAAAATATAGGGTATACAAAAAGAAAAGAAAAGATGAAGCTGTGACTTGATGTTCTCTTGAATCGACGATCTTTATACAGTGCCCATGCACGTGAGACACACTGTTGGATGAAAAGATTTAAGTTGACATTCATTGGGTGACCGGATTTAAAACACTCACCAAATCCGGATTTGTGATTTACACCTTCCATGCTTAGCGGGAATTATACTTACATACGGATAACGCAGCACTAATAATCAAAGATGATCTCAACTAATTTTCTTGTTGAGAATTTAACAGTGAAAGCCTAATGTAAATTACACACCCAAATGGATTTTTGATGAATTTTCAAATGGATTAGAAAAGCAGTCAATAAGGTAATAAAGAAAAATGATAGGGAAGAAGTGAACTAACAATGGAGGGAAGACACGCTCATGCTCTTTAGACAACCTGCGAAGAGATCCCGACAACAAAAAATGAATGACGATAGCCATATCCTATCGGCCTTCCCATAAGCATGCATGCATCTGTTTCTTGCTCACCACTTTAAAGACATAGCAGCGCTGCGACTTGTCCCCAGCAACTCTTTCCTTCATATTTTCATCGTGTTTATAAATTATTTTTCATTTTAATTTGGTTTCTTAAAATAAGGAAAATTTTAAAAAACTCATTAATTCTATTTAAAAATTTAAATAAGTTCTTGATTTTATATATCCTTACTCAATAAACATACATTAAAAATATATTTTCACTCATCAATATTTAATAGAGATAAAATAAAAATTGTGATAAATTAAAAATTAATGATATCACTTAAATATAAAGTGTACCAAAAGATTTTTTTTTTTACCTTATAAATATGACCGAAGAGATAGAATATATCGGTACACACACATATATATACGAACAAAAAAATTGAGGGAGGAAAAAAGAATCTTCCTTAAATTTACTTTCATGTTGTAGTTACTAGCTTGTGAACTAGTTAAATACCATTGAGTTGTATGATTCATAAGTGCCTTCATCAATCCAGCTATGCAGAAATTGGTTGTAATATCATCCCGGCCTACAATGACCATCTTCTATATTCTTGTGGGTTTAATTGTACCATTCAATTAATCAACCACATAGTTCCTTCGATCCCTTATTATATAGGGTGTTCTCTAGAAGGAATTGATGGTTAAGTCAATTGGTGTCTTGATGGGTCGTTCATTAACATTTTTCAAATATTTGTTATAAAAAGAATTAAAGTCGTCTAACATTTTTCTATATCTTTGATAAAAAAAAAATTCTACATATATTCTTATATAGAGGTATGTGAAATTGGAAAACTTTTTTCATTTCCAAACAAAGTTACTGAGTCAACCACATTTTCTTGATTTGCATTAGGTGTGATGACTTAGCTTATAATAAAGATGATATATTGGCACAGGAGAAGAGTGTGAGAAGTTGTTTATTTATTTATTTTTACTTAGAACCTAAATTCTCGCTGTTTTTACTTTAATTTTTTTAGTTATTGATTAAAAAAATCACATTCTCGCCGTTTTATTTATTTTTTTTAGAATATAAAGAAGTTCACTTTTATTGGATTTATAACTTTGTATCTTACCTCGTGTTTCTTGGAGCAAGTTGGTACAAACACTACACTAGACATTAATAATGGTAATTATAGTTAAGTATTTAGATAATAGTAGTTAAAATATTATTAATTATATAACCTCTTGATAGACATGCTTGTGTTACACGTGTATATATACCCTGGACTCATCAGAAGTAATGTGACATTAGATCATTCTGCACACTATACTTTCCTTCTTCCTCTCCCTGGTTACTTTTCCCTTATGGTATCAGGGCAAAATTGACTCTAGCCATGTCAAGTTCTTTTAAGTCTACCACTTCTGTTGATTCCTCTAGATTTCTCAAGCAGGACATCATCACGTTCAATTATCTTATCTCCATCAAACTTGATGAGAGTAACTCTCTGACCTGAAAACACCAGATCGTCTCTGCCATCTGTGGTCATGATCTGGAGAAATTTATTGACAAAGCAACCAAGCCACCGATGAAGTATCTTTTGAGCAATGATTCAGATGGATTCACTGTTAATCCTGATTTTTAGATTTTACATGAGCAGGATCAACTCCTCATGTCGTGGATGTCCTGCTCTATGATCGATGGCATTCTCACTAGGATTGTCAGATGCAAGACATCGCTGTAGATCTGGGAGCGCATTCATAATCACTTTGCTTCTCAGACTTGAGCTACGATGCGTCAGTTGAAAGCACAGCTCAAAAGTACCAAGAAAGGACCTCTTTCTGCCAATGAGTATCTTCTCAAGATCAAAGGAGTTACTGATTCCCTTGCTACAATTGGACAACTAATCTCTGAGTCCGATCATATTGACTTCATTTTTGAAGGTCTACTAGAGGAGTATGACCCTTTCATCACTGCAATGATTACACGCCCTAATCCTTATACAGTCGATGAGGTTGAATCGCTTGTGATAGCTCAAAAAGTGAGAACTGAGAAGAATATGAAAGCTACAGTTGCTGTTATCGCTAATCTGGTGCATACAAAGTCTTTCTGAGGTGGAGGACGTTCTAGTCGTAGTGGTCACCACAATAATAATTGTGGTGGTCGCAGACGTATGAGCACTAGTAACAGGTCGGCTAAAATCTTAGTCGACTGTCAAATCTATGGAAAGAAAGGTCACATGTCTAGTGAATGCTGGTACAGGTTTGATGAAACTTTTCAGGCACTTAGTGTGAATGTCTCTAAGAAGGAGTCGCGTTTTCTTATGGCTACTACAGATTCTGTCTACTATAAACCCAAACTGGTACCTGGATTGTAGGCATGCTCTTCAATATGTCACCATTACAAGACTTGAAGTATGTTTTGCACAGTTAATAAGGTTCCAATTTATGCAAACTCCCTTAGGAACTCATTGGAAAATAGTGAAACGTATTCTTAGATACCTAGCAGATACTATCACTCATGGCCTCAAGTTAACATCTTCTAAAGACCGGTCAATAGTTGCCTATTGTGGTGCAGATTAGGCTACAAATTTTAATGATAGAAAGAGCACTATTGGCTATTGTGTTTATTTTGGGAAGAATCTTGTTTCATGGTCATCCAAGAAACAATCTACAGTTGCTGAAGTTTTGTGGATCAAGTTGTAACATTCAGAAATTTTAAAACTCAGATTTATAAAAATAAAATAAAATATTTATAATTAAATTAAAATTTAGAATAATTTGACAGAGGTCCAGAGTTTGAATTTTACTAAGCAAAAGTTTGGTTTTATTTGATTTTTAACTATGGGAAAAATTATCAAAGTTGACCCGAGCTTTTGTGCAATAATAAAAAATGTTGAGCCCTTTCTTGTAATTTTCCCCAAAATTTTTGACCAGCATTTCAAGAGGCAAACTGGACGTAGAAAACGCAGAAAAGAAAGAAGAACAAAACACACGAGAGAGAGAGAGAGAGAGAGAGAGAAGAAAGGAGAAAGTGAGGGAGTTAGGCTTAGATCTAGGAGTCTTTGCGACCGTTGCGAGCTCGGCTACACGATAGGTAAACTCCCTACTTCAATTATCTTCCCTTTCTCTTGATTTTCTTCAATTTTTGGAAGAGGAGATTTTTGGATTTTGATCCTAAAGGCTTTATTCTTGTAAGCTTTTGTTTCTTTGGATCCTAGGGAGCATGTTTTGAGTTTCTATATAGTGATCTAATGTTTTGAGTGGATAATTGAATAAAAAGAGATGTTTTGGGCACAAAATAAACCTGAGAAATTGGGTTTTTGCTCTTCAATAGTTTGAGCTTATTGATTTAGTTATAATTTTACTATTTGAGCCCAATAAGATTTAAATTAAGGTTTGATTTTCATTATAAGAGCTAATGGTGAAAGTTGGTGGCACTAAGTAAAGGTTTTTAATTGATTAAAAATTTTATATAAATTGAAAATTTAGCCTAATGATGGCTAATAAATGGTTTTGGTGGTTAAGTGATACTATGTGAATAGTTGGTTAAATATATGGACCATTGAGATGGATTATGGCTCATAGATCCAAGTTATGTGGTATGAGTTATAGTCTTTATTAATGCTATTTGACATGATAAGTGATGTGGATCACTTATATGTTGTAAGGATTGTTGGTGGAATTTGTTCGGAAGTTAAGGAACAAGTTAAGTTCTATTTTATACAAAAGGAACCCTTTTGGTGCCAAAGGGTTGAGGTAACAAGGAAAATTTATATTTTTTATTACTCTGTTTTAGCTATTTTTGAATACATATTACTAGCTATCATGCATTACATGTTTTAAAAGATTAAATGTGATTTATAAGGGGTTATAGGGTACTAATTTGATTATAGTGCAAATATGTTTTCTAATTGTTTAACAACAATGTTTTTATGAAAACGAGATTTGTTTATATGTATTTTAATCATAAGGAATAGAAGTTGCAATTAAGGAAGTGTAACTAAGTAAGGTACCTTAGATAGGCTAAGGAACCGTTTAAGGAAAATTTATAAATGTTATACTACCTTAGAGTGTTGAGGTGGTCAATACTCGGGAAAGATAGACATGAATAAAAGGCATGATCTCGGTGGGAGTTCACCAATGAGAAGGTGTGTACTTTTGATATCCTATGGCACACTGCCAGTACTTAGTGGGGGAGGAAATCCGACATATGAAGTGTGAGATTGAGAGCT